CCTGACCACCATCAAGGACGCCCTCTACAAGCTCCAGGGCTTCGCCCCAACCAAGGAGTATCCGACCAAGGCCTATTCCGACGGCTACTAGAGTGTACCAACGATCATTGGCCCCGACAGTGTCTTCTTCGTCAGGGCGCACACAGCATTATGTCATCTTAAGGTGGCTGTGCTCATTTAAGGATCGACCAATGGGCGTGGTTTGATTGGGAGATTTTCTCCGGGATTACGGAGGAAAATCATTGGTTGGATATAATTTTCCTGGCCAATGAAATCATCGGACTCCGTCAATAAACAACAAAACAAGGACCATCTTCTTTTTTTCTTGTCGTTTCGCCACACAACAAAACACAACATGCGCTCCGTCCTGGCCCTCTTCGCCCTTCTGGCCCTCGCTGCCGTCGCCCAGGCCTCGCTCATCCCGAGCTCGCCTGTCCTCACCTCCAAGGCCCTCCAGCGCCCCGCCGCCGACCCCGAATGGTGCCCTACCTGCGTGTCCTTCATGGATCAGGTACGCCGGCCGGCCCTTTCATCTTCATCTTCTTCCGGTCGACTCTTGCCGGTGCTGACAATCTTTTTTCTTTTCTGTGAATCTGTTGCGCGGTTGCCGGTCCTGCAGTCGATCGATCAGCTGCTGAACATCATCGCCAACGGCGGCGTGCTGGGTGGATGCAACACCCTGTGCGGCTACCTGAACCAGCAGCTCGAGGAGGTCGTGTGCAACCTGCTCTGTGACTACGTCGGCATCCAGGCCTTCATCAAGCTCGTCGACACCATCGACCCCGACAGCATCTACATCTGCGAGGAGCTCACCGTGTGCCCCATCAGCCGCAACGCCAGCGCCTCCTTCAAGCAGCTCAGCGTGAGCCCCTCGCGCGGCTCGCAGGGCACCACCTTCGTCGTCGAGGCCCTCTTCCAGGTCAACAACACCATCGGCACCGGCGAGCTCGACGTCGTCGTCCTCCCCCCCGACGGCTTCGCCATTGAGGGCGGCACCCTCCTCGTCAACGTCAAGCCCGGCGTGTACGGCGCCAAGTTCGAGGTCCAGACCCAGCCCTCCGAGCAGGAGCCCTTCTCGCCCGGCCAGTACATCGTCCAGGCCGCCGTGTGCGAGGGTACCTGCGGCTCGTCGCACCCCTACACCAAGACCCTCACCAAGGCCCAGACCTCGTTCTACATCACCCAGTAAGCGGAACCCAAGGAGACCACAAATAAAACAGCATGTGTTGGCACGTGTCTTCTTCTCGTACTCAACTCTTGCGATTGGTCACAAGGTGAAATTTCAATAGAACATGTGGAGGCCTGACCGCGCGGAGTACGAAGATCACAGGCACTTGTGGCCGGCCTTGCAGGTCCATCGCTCGCCGGACATCCGCTCGAGGTGGCGAACGGACCTTGTCTTGTTGTGCAGCGAGCAGCACGCCAGCGTGAATTCTCCCTGTACGCCGTGGCCGTTAGCGCCGACGATCTATTGACACCTATCTCGACGTCGCCTACTTGATGTGCGAGATACCTTCGTTGTGGCGGCGAGGAACTGTGACTCTTCCTTCGAGCGCCAACTGCCTGCGCCACCGCCTCTTCGTTCTGTCACAGGGACCTGCACCAGCCAAGAATGAGGCGACAAACAAGCCCCAGCACAACACCGCACGGCAGGGAAGCGGACGCGCACCTGGGCAGCGGGAACCAACGCATCCTTCAGAATATAGGTGTACTGAGCAGCACCGTGCTGCGGCGCCGAGCTGTAGCCCACCACCTGGTTGCAGTGAGCGCAATGGTACCTGATTCCCACAGAGCGGCGGTTGGTGGCGACAGTGGCGCGATGGCGGTTGTTGGGCCGTTAGCAAGAGAAGGCAAGGCTCAAGCCCGAGCGCGTGCGTGTCCTGTGCGTGCAATGGCGCACCTGTATTGGACCTCCACTCCCTTGTCCCTGCAGCCGAGAAGAAAGGGAGTGAGATCTTGGCGCCACCACGCCAGGGTCGACGTCACACGACCGCGGCCAGATGAAGACGACAGGAAGGCGAACGAACCTTTTGATGGACACCTTCTCGCCTGGCACGATGGTGAGTTTGTACAGTGCCTTGTCCTTGTTGATCACATACGACTCGTCCGTCTTTCGTCGCGGCAGGCCTTCGAGCGGCTTGTCTGCACAACCATCACGTCAGTTTTATTTGTATTTATTTATCACAAAATCAAGAGTTTGATATTAAAATAATACAAATAAATAAAATGTGATTAATACAAAATTCAAAGTGGGAGCAAGCACCAATCTGCAGGGCGAGGGTACGACAGAGGGCGCAGTGGTAGCGGGTGACTATTTTCTCGATCGTTCGCAGCGTCTCTCGCTCAATCTGTCTCTCTGATTGAAGCAAGATGGCCGTTGCTGTAGCTGACGAGTCGTCTTCATCCCCCTCTCGCCTTCGCTCTCCTGAAGTCGAAGTGGCGGTACTGCTCGGCCTGGCCTTCTTGGCATCTCGTGATGGCGATTCTCGCTTTGATCGCGTACTTGAGTATGTGCCGCGGCTGCTCGCTGCATCCCTCTCCTTCCTCTTGCTGCCACCACTCGCCCTTCCATCGTTGTCCATCCTCTCGCCTTCGGTTTGATTTCTATTTTATTTCTTTTCTCTTCTTTATTTCTGATTTTGCGGAATCAAAATCTGCACCGGCGGTACATCACCACCGCGTTCGATTGCAAACGTTTGCGGAAGGAGGCGCGATGCTGAAGAAGAGGGTTAAGAAGGGCGGGCGGGGCCGTCAAGAAGCCGCGAAGAAGGCTCATGCCCCGTCTCCGTCGGGAGGCACCATCACCGATGAACTGCGCTCGCAGCTCATTGCAAACAACAGCAACGCCTATGCGGATCAGACTGGCGCAGAGGGGGAAGAAAGCAACGTACTCATCGTAGGGGCCAAGAAGAAGAAGGAAAAGGTAAATCGCCTCAAATCGCAATTTGGCTTCCAAATTATGCCAATTGTCACCAATATGAAGTGATTTTCATCCTGATTCACCTGATTTCATCCCTAGTGGATCGTGTGCAGTGTAGGCTTTTTCAACCTTGATCATTAGGATCTAATCTTCTATTCATCTCCTGGCAGACCACAGCAGAGCCCGAGGAAAAGAAGCCCAAGCTCACGGCCAAGCAGAAGCGGCGCCTGGCCAAGCTCCAGGAGAAGGACCAAAAGAAGAAACAGCGTATCGACCTGTTCCAATCGCTCTCGTACGCCTTCGTCCTTCTCTTCTCTCGCCACTTGCGTGGCTGCAGTGAAACGCGAGGGGCTCAGCAGCACTCCTTCTTCTTTGCCGTTACGATCAATGCAGGAACACCATGCTCACGCCCGATCAGATGAAGCTGCTGCATCCCAGTAGCGACATTGGCAAGGTACACACCATGCCTGCACCATGCACAGATCTCCATCATTTGTTGTGATCCCGCTTCTTCCTCCTCCTCATCACTAACGTTGTGCCGTATGGACCTTGTGCACCACAGAAAGAGACGAAGAAGGACAAGCTTAGCCGCGCGTTCAGGGAGCAGAAGACCCTCGGTTACACCCTCACCAACGACGTTCAGTTGGAGCAGCCCGTTACCAAGCGAAAGCGCGAAGAGGAGGAGGACGACAGCAGCGAAGGCGAGCTGCAGTACGACGACAACTTCGAGATCCCCTTCAAGTTCCCCTCGTTCGTTCCTCCCGCGACCTCGGCCAGCACAGCCGCTTCGTCGTCGTCGTCGTCTACGTCAACGTCGACCTCGACCTCGTCCATCTCCACGATGGTCGCCAGCTCGGCCTCCACGCTGCGCTTCGACTTCTCTGGACTCTCCTCGTTCGGCAAGCCCAAGCCTGCAGCGGCTTCGACCCCTGCTCCAGCCGCGGCAGCGCCTGCCACCCCGGTCAAGCCGGTTGTCGCCCCCACCACGACCACTACTGCCTCGTCTCCAGCAGCTGCTTCGTCTGCCAATTCCACACCCAGTTCGGAGTCAAAGAGGGCCAGGAAGCGAAGGAAGCAGGAAAAGAAGAAAGAGAAGAAGAAGGTACGGTCCCTCCCTTGCAACGCGTTACACGTTAGTAGGAGTTAAAAATAGCGCGCTGACGGTGAATCTTTGGGTCCCATCAGGCCGCACAATCGCAGGAACAAACGGCTGCCGTGGCCGCGCAGGATGAACCCGAGCCGACCCCTGAGGAGCCCAGGTCCGCTGTTGCGGCGCCGCCCGCTGCGCCAGCTGCTTCCACTGAGCCCGCGGCACCGGCCAAGGCGAGTAAGCCGGCGTTCTTCGTGCCTGTGTCGAGGTTGCCCGAGGTGGAGAAGCAGCGCAAGGAGCTCCCCATCTACATGGAGGAGCAGCGGATCATGGAAGGCATCAAGGAAAACGACGTCGTAGTCATTTGTGGTGGTACGCAAGACACTGTGTTTGTTGTAGGCGCGTGGCGTGGCGCGTGCGATGGTCGTGATTCGATGACATAACGCAACTCCCTATCCTCCCCGCGCAGAGACGGGATCTGGTAAGACCACGCAGGTGCCCCAATTCCTCTACGAGGCCGGCTACGGCTGCCCCGGGTCAGGTACGGGCGCTCCTCTTCTGTGCCACCTCCCCTCCTCCGACCAGACTGGTATCAGGGCTAACAATGATAACAACGCGCAGCCAACCCTGGCATGGTGGCGGTCACTCAGCCGCGTCGTGTGGCTGCGGTCAGTATGGCCCAACGCGTGTCGCACGAAATCAACGCCGAGTCCAAGTCCCTCGTCTCTTATCAGGTGCGATATACCCCCCCCCCACACCGGGTCCAATTGCTGTTACCGCGTTGTCGACTAAGAACTGAAACTGGCGTCGTAGATTCGATACGATTCCACGGTGAGCAACGACACTCGCATCAAGTTCATGACCGACGGTATCCTGCTCAAGGAGATTCAGGTACCGGTCATGTCTGCTCGTCACAACAGGCGCACTTGCGCTGGAGCTTTTTCTGAAGCTTCGTGTCAACATGTGTACAGGGCGACTTCCTCATGAAGCGGTACTCGGTCATCATCATCGATGAGGCCCACGAGCGCAACCTCAACACCGACATTCTCATCGGCCTCCTCTCGCGCATTGTGCCCCTGCGCGCCCAACTCGCCCGCGAGCACAAGCTCAAGCTCAAGCAGAACCCCTCGGCCATTGCCCCGCAGGACCTCATCAGGCCGCTCAAGCTGGTACGTAGGCCCGTGCCCTCGCAGTGCTTTGCATTGCTGTGGCTGAACGCGTCGGCCGGCCGGCTTCAGGTGATCATGTCCGCGACGCTGCGCGTGAGCGATTTTGTCGATAATGCGAAGCTGTTCCCCACGCCGCCGCCCGTGATCAGCGTCGACGCGCGTCAGTTCCCCGTCACGGTCCACTTCAACCGACGCACCGTGCTGGGCGACTACATCGGCGAGGCCTACAAGAAGGTCTGCAAGATCCACCAGAAGCTGCCCCAAGGAGGTATGTAGTGTGTGTTGTGTGTCGTGTCGTGTGTGTTGTGTGTCGTGTCGTGTGTGTTGTGTGTCGTGTCGTGTGCGTTTCTCATTATGTGCGGTGCAGGCGTGCTGGTGTTCCTTACGGGTCAGCAGGAGATCGAGGTGCTGTGCCGCAAGCTGCGCACGGCCTTCCCGCCCCACATGGAGCGGAGGAAGAAGACCACCTCGATCCTCGTCGACGAAGAGCCCAAAGAAGCGGAAAAGGGCAAGGAAAAAGAAAAGAAGACGAAGACGAAGAGCGAAGGCGACAAGAAGGCCGACGCTGAGGACTCCGGGGAGGAGGACATGGAAGTCGAAAAGAACGAAGACGGAGAGAAAACGAAAACTGAAAACGAGCAGAAGGAGGGAGAGGCTGGAGAGGAGGAGGATGACGACGAGGAGGAGCAGGACACGATCGGCCCGCTCTGGGTCCTTCCGCTCTACTCCGCACTGCCGACCAAGCAGCAGCTGCAAGTGTTCGAACCGCCGCCTGCGGTACTGCACGCCTTTGTCCCCCTCCCTCCTCCCTTCATCGGTAATGACATCAGTTTTCTCACGCGATCACGATCGCGACCACGTGCAGGGCTATCGCCTGGTGGTGGTGGCCACCAACGTGGCTGAGACCTCGCTCACCATCCCCGGTATCAAGTACGTGGTAGATTCCGGCAGGGCCAAGGAGGTACGAACGCCTACCCTCGCACACGTGCCACCTCACACGCACACGCACACGCCCACGCCCACGCACACCCCATACACACACGTTGCTCACTGGCTGCCTGGGCTTATCCAGAGGGTGTACGAGCGAGCGTCGGGCATGTCATCGTACGTGGTTCAATGGGAGTCGCAGGCCTCCGCCAACCAGGTGCGATTTCTCTGCGGTCCACTTCCTTCCGGGCCAAGATCTCACCCGGAGTGACACCAATGGATGGTGGGGTGGCTGCTTGACGGGCATATGTACAGAGGGCGGGTCGTGCCGGTCGTACGGGTCCGGGTCATTGCTACCGGCTCTTCTCGTCGGCCGTCTTCAACGACCAGTTCGCGCAGTTCTCGCACCCCGAGATCAGTCGAATCCCCATCGAAGGTTCAACGCACGCGCGCACACACACACACACCACAGGACCCTTCCTTCGCGTACTCACACAGGCGTACATGTGCAATCTTCGTGAAGGTGTGGTGCTGCAGATGAAGAGCATGGGCATCGACAAAGTCGTTTCGTTCCCCTTCCCCACGCCCCCGGATATGATCGGATTGAAGGAAGCCCACAGGGTACTCCTCCTCATTTCACACATTCTTGCGCTATACCAATCTATTCTAAAATATGCCATTGGCTTTTCACTGACGCCTTGCTGTCCGTTCCGCCGCTGTAGACGCTGTCGTACTTGGGCGCGCTCGACAAAGACAATCGGCTCACCCCACTGGGCCGTTCGCTTGCCACCTTCCCGGTTGCTCCTCGCTACGCTAAAATGTATACGCCCCGCCCACGCCCGTGGCTTCCCTTTTCGTCCATTTTAATCACACATCTTCGTTTGGTCGTGCTTGACAGGCTGGTGCTCGGGCATCAGGGTGGGTGTCTGCCCTACGTGATTGCGCTCGTGGCGGCCCTCTCGGTGGACGATCCACTCCTGCGGCAGTCGCTGCACGAGGAACGCGATGAAGAGGGCGAAGGTGCCCCTTGACACACACACACACACAGCACACACAGCACACACACACACACACACACACACACAACACAGCACAAAGCGAAACTCACGCTTCTTCGTGATCTGTGCAGAGGAGAAGACGAAGGCGGAGCTTCAGATGGAGGAGCAGGAGCGAGAGCAGCGAACGAAGCGGCGCGCGGCCATCATCTCCGTGCACAACATCTGGGCGCACCCGGCCAGCGATTTGCTGGTCATCCTCCGGGCCATCGGCGCTTACGAATACGGCGGCGCCACCGACAAGTTCTGCGAGAAGCACTTCCTCAACGCCAAGGTATAAATCGCACACGACACGCACAAGACGCACTCGACACACTCACACCGCGCACACACGCACACACACTTCTGACTTGCCGTTTCGTTGCCTGCAAACAACAGATCATGAAGGAGATCCATCAGCTGCGGGAGCAGTTGACGTACCTGGTCAACACGGTCTACCCGCAGGACGAGCCCATCGGCATGGACCCCAACCTGCAGCCGCCCAGCCCCGAGCAGGAGCTGCTGCTGCGCCAGGTGATCACCGCGGGCCTGGTCGACCAGGTGGCCCGGCTGCACACCGATCGAAGCGAGATGGGTTACATCAATGAGGCCAAGGTACACCACTTCGTATACTATCAGCTCTTCTTCTTCTTCTTAACCGCATCGCGCTGCGGCAGGCCCAGAAGCATTTCCAGTACATGACGGTCAAGACCAACGAGGTGGTGTACGTGCACCCGTCGTCGTTCCTGTTCGGCCAGCACGAGGAGTACGTCGTGTATCGAGAGCTCGTACAGACCAAGAAGACCTACATGAAGGGCGTCACGGCCATTCACCCGTCGTGGCTGTGCTCGCTTGGCACCGCGCTCTGCCAACTCTCCAAACCGCTCGAGACCCCTCCCCCTCGGTTCGTCTCTTACCACACACACGCGCACATGCACACACACGCACACACAACACGCGCACGCGCGCACACACACACACACGTTGGTGCGTTTGCTTACTTTGACCCGCCGGCCGCACACGCACGGTCCAGATACGATGCCGAGGCGGACACCATTCGATGCTTCGTGTCGCCCACATACGGCCCCAACGCCTGGACACTGCCCGTGCAGGAGGTACCGCCCTGCACACCGCGGGCATTGCAGTTGCGGGCATTGCTAACGCACTGGCGTCGCGCCCACCTATGCGCAGGCTGACATGGAGGACGGAGTGGACCGGTACAAGTACTTCATGCGCTTCCTTCTCGAGGGGAAGATCATTCCCTCACTCAAGGCCCTGCGCGTACGTCATTCTTCTCTTCTCCACGAGCCGTGGCGTTCGTGCAATCGTCACATAACGTTCTGTGCATTCCACCACCACACGCCACACCGCCACACCCACACACGACAACAGGAGAACTTGTCTGGCCGGCCTTCGTTGATCACGGCGCCAACCACCACGCAGCACAAGATCCTGGCGTTCCTACAAACGCTCAGCTCCAACAAGGTCTACAACAAGAAGACCCTCATGGCCAAGCTGTACGCTCATCCCCATCAGGGAGTCTCCCTGACTTCGCTTTCGGCCCTGCCACCGGTCTCTCACAAAACCACGCGTGTGTCGCCGTTTCTGCAGCAAAACGCAACCCAAGTTCTTGCTGGCGGAGATGAAGCTGTGGGTCAACCTGCAAACGCACGAGCTGCTCGAACAGCTGTGGAGCAAACTTACCCGCGACAACCAAAAGTGATCGTTCACACCACGCGTGGCTTGGTTGGCGCGGAGCACTGCACTGGGTTACCCTCTTTCGCTTCAAGTGCCCTTTGGAGCGAAAGAAAGCCTACATGGCTCCTGGTTTTGTCTTAAATACCTCGAATTCCTTTGCGCAAAGCGGTTCTGCCGGTGTTTTTCTGCTCAAAAATGGGGAATGCGAATCACGTCGAGCCTCATTTGGCAATTTTCAGGTGAATAAAAGCCTCTGTTTTCACTGCAACATCGCTTTTTCCTGCACGGCCCATGGAGGAAGACGGTGGTGCTCTGGGTCTGACGGGATTCCAACTTTTCCACCGTCGGACCGACGCTAAATGCGAAAGAACACGAGCGGGACTTGACTGAGCAGTAGGGATCGTTCGTTCGGCATCATCTATCTAGGCGACTGAATCTCTCCGATCGTTTAAACACAAACGGCAACACACAAGATGAACAACAAAACGACATCAACCCGTGATCTACACGAGAGTGGTGTTTCCACCGAGTGGCGAGATTCGTCGACCTCAGTGTGCACCACCTTCTCCGATTCTTCGCTACCGTTGCAACTCGCCGATAAATCGGTTCATCATCTGGCGTTCGACTCTCTCTGCTTCTCCAGCGAAGATGACGCGGCGATGGCAGTCCTTCTCGCCACCACTACGACTTCGACATTCGCTCCCGTTCCCTCCACTTTCTCTCCCTTATCTCTCTCTTCATCTCCATCTCCATCTCCATCTCCATCTCTCGGTTTCTGTGATCCCTCTCTCCTCTACTCTCCTTCCTCACGTCGCCAACCACCTGCATCCGCCTCAGCCAAGTTCTGCCTTTCCACCTCCACTACAACTTCTACTTCCATTCTTCCCAACTCTGCCCCCGGCCCGTGGTGGCATCGCGCGCTATGCGTGCTCTGGATAGGGGCCAAGATGTGCGTCATGTTCGCGCTCATGGCCGTGCTATGGGTCGTACTGGCGCTGCCCACCATCGACCAGCAGTTGTGCGCCCTCTTCTGCTTCCTCTGCCAGCACTGCCCGCTGTCTGCCCACAAGGAGGCGCTCAGCCGACGGCGAGCAGCAACCCACCACCGCCGCCAGGCCAGCGTGTTACAGATCCGCGAAGACGACGACACGAGCGACGGAGAGGGCGAAGGAGAGACGGCGACGAAGCCACGGCTCAGCGGCAGCCAGGAGCTCAAGAAGTCGGAGGAGGGCGAAAGCATCAAGGAGGAGGCAGTGGACCAACAACCGGAAGACGAAGGAGCCGCTTCGAGCGTCGAGACGGCGAAACCGAAGACTAAGCCCAAGAGGAGGGTGCGCTTCTCGGACTGAGACAGCCGAGCGAAGTGTTCGCTCGCCGTCTTTTCGATGGCTGTACACATAAAGCAAACAACAACTACAACAACCTTCCTGGTGCGCATCTTGGCGCAAAAAAAACTCGTTGAAGAAGAGGAGTAGTACACGCTGTCTCTGAGTGTGTGGTGTGCGAAGGATGATGGTGACGCGCCTGGGCAGCACCGCCATCACCGGTGACGGTGTCCCCACGTGGTGGTGGCCCGCCTCTGCGGATCCGGCCTGTCGTGGATGGCCGCCGCGCCTCGGCGCCGTGCCCCCCGTGGTGCGGTCGTCTGCTTGTATGTGTGTTGAACGGTCGTGATGTTGTTCGCCTTGTCGACCAACATGAGCTCTCGCTCCCTTTAGACGGTCTTCGAAATGTCGCCCGCGTCGTCGAGAAGGAAGGCGCTCGTGACCATGGTCTCCTCCTCGGTGAAGAAGTCGCAGATGCCCTCGGACTCGTCAATGGCGGAACTCGTGAGGAAGTAGTCGACCGGCGTCGCGAGCTTCATGATGGGCTGCGCGGGTAGGAAGGCCTCGGGCTCGCCCGCCGGTGCCCAGTGCGCATCGGGCCGCCTGAGCGACGGCATGCCAGCACCGCCGTACGGACCTGGCGACGCGGCCACCGCAGGGAGTCCACGTGGCGGCTGCGACGACTGCGACTCGTCGCCGCACTCGATGGCCGAGGGGTCGTGCCCCATGGCCGACGGGGAAATGCCCTCGAGCAGCGCAGAGTGGTGTTGGGCGTGCGCCGCCTGCTGGGCCTCCTCCACCATCTGCAGCTGCTGCTGCTGCTGGCGGGACTGTACAAGGTAGACGTCGATCGGCTCGCCCGAGCTCTTGAGGAAGATCTGGTACCGGCGCTGGTTGGCGGGCATGCCCTCGTCGGGGTCGGGCACCTCGAGCCGCGTGCCCGACGGGGCCTTGATGGCGATGAGCGTGTCGCCCTGGAAGCACGGCAGGCTGACCAGGTCCTCGTAGGTGATGAACGCCAGCTGCTGGTTGGCCGGGTCGTCGGACAGCCGCTTGATGTTCGTCTGCGCCTGCCGGATTCGTTCGTCGAGGGCCAGCTCCTGCTGGACCAGCTGGGCCACCTCCTCCCGCACGGTGCCCAGCCGCAGCCGCTCCTCCTCGGTCGCTATCCCCTCCCCTCTGCGCAAAAGAAAGCAGTGGAGGTGAGTGAAGCGAGTTGAGACGAAACGAGGAGAAGGGCGCGCACTGTACCGCCACTGAATGTGATTCTTCGATTTCTTTTCGATCAAGCCTATGCCCTCCAAGACGTTGGTGATGTCGTAGATTCGTCGCTTTTGTACAGAGAGTTGCTCGGCGGCCTGGGAGGGGTCACCCTATGAGTGATGATTCAAAGGGCAATGAAGGCAGCTGCCTTGTGGCACGCACCTTGTTCAAATCGATCGAGCCATCGGGTGCTGTTCGCACGAGCGTGATGAATTTCTTGGTGAGGAGCCCGAGCGAGCTGTCGAATCGCGTGACGGGTTTGCCGTCCTTGTCCAGCTTTGATTGCTTTCGCGATCGCTTACGCGCCTTTGCCTCTTGGCTACTGCCCGCCTTCCTCTTGCCCTATGATTGAAGCACCACTAGATGAGATGTGCAACGAAGACCCAATTCAAACTGCAAAACTGTACCGATTCTTTCTCTGTTGATTCGTCTTCGCTGGAGCCCCCCTCTTCGGGAGGTGGCGTCGGATTCACACTCTCGTCGATGGAAGGCTTGTCTTGTGCCTGGTCGTTGTGATTGCGCTGCTGTGCGGCCGATTGGGCCAGTTCGTTGAGCTTGTTGCCGACCGTAGAAGATGTGGATGTGGAGGTTGAGATGCTGGTCGTTGGCAATGGAGCTGGAGACGTGATGAATGCCCTTCGATCTCCTCTGCCCGCCCTGGCTGGGGTCTGAGGGATCTGGAATTCACCATTCCCACCACTACTGCCATTAGCAGGGAAGGCGAGGAGGTTTTGAAGCGTCTCGTGTCGGGAGGGCGATGCTTGAGTGTGCGAATGAAGGCGAGCGTAGTAGTCGTGCTCGTACGCGGCCATGGGATCGGGGAGCAGGTCGAAGGGGGTGAGCATTCCTTCGGCATGGAACTCCTGGTAATCCGCTACGGACGCCGACGCGGAAGACGAAGAGGACGATGAGGAAGAAGTTCTCGTTGGAGAAGGTGGCAGCTCGTCTTGTATCTTTTTCATTGTTTCGGCGAGGGAAGCAGGAGGGTGTGAGGTGTCCATCATTTTCGACGATCCAACAATTGCCCGCACTGGATTACACACGATCAAGTCGCCCATCCACCGGGCCAGCCTTCTTGCTTCTTTTTATCCTCCCCTCCTTCTCTAATATTCTACTCGCCCTCGCTATCCCTCTTCTTTCAATTCCAAAATTTGCCCCAATCGTCGTGCTGATCTCGCGCCAAAAGTGTATGAATAAGGCGCGAAGCCGCAAGGCGGGAAAACCAAGAACCCTAATCGCGCATTGGACAACGAAGAAAAGGCCCAAATTATCGACTCTATTCACACCCTACAGCTCGCGGCGCAGGTCGGCGCTCGGTACGCAGGTGAGCAGACTGCTCTCCTCGTAGCTATCCAAGGTGTCGCCCTCATCGATGCCATCATCGCCGGCTTCGTTTTCCTCCTCCTCCTCCTCCTTCTCGCCTTCCAACCGCGCTCGCTCAGCCACTCTCGCCTCTTCTTCCTCATTGACACGATCTTCGCCGTCGGAATCGGGGAGCGTGGAGGGCCTGCCGCTCGTGGGGTCGAGCGAGTTTCGATCATCATCATCATCATCACCACCACCATCACCACCGGTGCAGCGCCTGGTCTCGGCCGTGCGAGAGAAGGAGGGCGAGGACTGGGCTGAGCGCTTCAGCGTCGTCACTGACACGGGCACGGGCAGCAGCTGGGGCGGCAGCGGCGGCGAAAGGGAGAAGGAGTGGAGCGAGCGGAGCGAGGAAGGCACGTCGCCGTCCCGGTGGTGGGAGAAGGCAAACGACGCGGCGTCGAACGGCGAGGAAGGCGCGGACAGGAACGCCGAGCTCGACATCCGCGACAGAGATGACGCATCCTCGTCCTCGTCGGCGTCGTCGGCTTCTTCCGCCTCCTCCGCGCTGGCTTCTTGCGGCACAGCCCGCCGCTCAGGCAACGCGGAGACGAAGGGTGAGTCGCCCGGTGGCGGCGGCGTCGGAAACGCTGCTTTACCGGCCGAGGTCTAAGGGAAGTTGTGTGTGTGTGTGTGTGTCGTGTGTGTGTGTTTTGTGTTGTGTTGGTCAAGCTGGGTTGTGCGAGGGCCAATTCATACGGTTTGGTAGCCAGGGTACCTGGCTGATGTCGCCACGCGCTTCCAATGCGTCCTTCCAGTTCTTCCAGATGTTCTTCAGCGTCGGCAGGATCACGTCGAACGAGGGTCGCTCCTCCGGGTGGAATGCGAGGCATGCCTCGGTCAGGTTGAGCCAGTCGTGGGGCATCTGGTCCGCGAGCATGAGGTCGCGCAGGCCCTTCTCCTGCTCCTCGGCCCGGGCTCGTCTCTGCCTCGCTCGGAGAGGCGTCGAGTCCGCCCCGCGCGCGGGTGATCGAGCGCTGCTTTCTGGCGTCGACGTCGCCATCTCGTGCCTCTGGTCCTCCTCTTCCTTCGTCTCTGCTTCGCGTTTGATACTCCACTCCTCACGGTCGTCACCGACGCCGCACTCGTCGTCGTTGTTTTCGTCGTCGGCCGCGGCCCCTTCCACCTCCTCACAGCGACGCTGCTCAGCGGCCCACACCCGACGGACCAGCTTTCGCCTCTTCTTCAGCTCCTCGTGCGAAAAGCCGTGCCAAAGCGTCCACAGCATCATGCCAAAGCTGTTGAAGATCGCCACAGCGACGCACCACAACACATCAACACCTTAGTAAGCTGGGCCTCACACGCAACTAACACACGCAAGTGGGCAGAGTGTGTGCGTACCTGTAGACATCGCTGGCGTAGCCGTGGTCCTGGGGTCCAGAGGTGTCTTGGGTTTCTTCCCGCTGGGCGGCATCGGTCGCTTCCGGTCGGAGGCCTCCAGAGCGCAGGTGAACGTTCCACACTTCGGGCGCGGAGAACAGTATACTGCTCTGCGGCTGGCGGAAGGGCTCGGCCAGCCCCGTGGTGGTTGCCTTCGAACCGTCCGCCTGACGGTTCACAAACCGCGCCAGGCTGAACCCGCACAACAGGGCTCGGTACTTGCTGTCCAACTGTGAACTCAGCACACAGCACGACACAGGAATTGTAAGCACGCACGACCGTTATTGAAGCGCACACGATTCTTGGCGCTGTGCGTACCAAAATGTTTTTGGGCTCCAAGTCTGATTGAGGAAAAGGCCACAGGGCAAGATGTTAGTGTTCACACGCAAAAAACGGGAGTGGAGGCTGGGAGTGTGGGGCGACGACGTACTGTAGTGAACGATGCCCTTCTCGTGCAAGTAGCTCATGGCCTTGGCCACATCATGCGCCATTCGCACGAGCAGCAACGGCTGTGATGTAGATCCAAAACACACGTGTGCCGTTATGCAAACGCACAAAACAAAACACACACGCATGCGCATACACGCCGCTGCCTGTGGCGCGTACCTTCTGTCGTCGAAGCTTTTTCCACCGCCGGCCCAGCCCGTACATCAACTGTGCCAGCGAGCCTAGAAAAAGGGTAGAACGAAAGTGGCGCACCCTGTCAGACCGCAGTGATTCGAGAAAGGTGCAGCGCGGGTCTTTGGGGGGGGGGGGTGCAGAGGGCGAGGGTTGCTAGCTACCGTGCTTGACCCACTGGAACACGAGGAACTCGTTCTCGGGCGCGAGATTTGCGCCCAGAAAGCGGACGATGTTGGGACAGTCACGCACGGCGAGCATCAACTGTGGCGCCGAGCCGCAATACAGGAATGTGTTAGCCCAAGAATACTGTGCGTGTGTCGTGTGTGTCGTGCCGTGTGTGTCGTGTGTGTCGTGTCCGGGTTTACCTCGGCTTGCAGAAGAAGGTCCTCGCGAGTGCCTTTCTCGGAACGCAAGAAGTTGCTCAAACGCTTGACCGCCACAGGGAGCGGTTTGCCATCGCCCGACTGCTGATCCGCGGCGTCTGATGTAATGAGCTTCGCCTTGCAGATGAGGCTGTGCGTTCCGTTCTCTGTGTGCACGCACGCACATGGCGAGACGAGTTGCACGCACGCATGCAAATGTAAGCGCACGAGCAGGCACACGAGAGCGCCGGCAGGGCCAGTGCTGTACCAAAGGGGAACTGGTCAACGATGTGGGCGGGATCGATGGCGTGCCTCTTGGCCAAGCGGGCCAACACTTCCGAGCTCCTCTGCAGCAGCATCGATTCCTCTCCTTCCTGGTCGGCCCACCCGACCTTCCTTCTCAGCGGGGCCGGGGACTGGGCCAGCTCCCGACCGTCCAGGCCCTTCTTGACGCGGATCTGCTGTTGGAGGGGCTCGTCGTGCGGCTCCCTGGCACACGCGTGTTCGCCGCTCTCCGTCGTTCCGGCGCTTTGTGCCACGACCCCATCCGCCGACCCCGCTCGCGGCATGCGCTCGCGCGGGCTCGCACCAAGTCCTTCGCTGCCGCCGGCGCCGCCGACGCCGTCCAGCTTGCTGTCTGCGAACGTGTTCTTCTTGCTGCTGTTGAGGAGCATCGTCTCGCTGCGGACCATGCGGCCGCTCACGTCGGCGCTTCGGTCGAGCGGGTGCGTGGAGACGCCGAAGAAGGGCGAGGCCAGCGCCGCTTTGCCCATCAGCGGGGTGGAGCGTATGCGGATCGGCATGCGGCCGCGCGCGGTCAACGGGGACGCCGCGTAGTGCGCCGCGTCGGGGCCGCCGCTGTTCATCTCCGTCCGCCTGGCGAGCTCCAGCTTGCGCTGCCGCTCCTTTTGATGGGCCTCCTCGATCTCCAGCTGCTCCAGATACTCCTCGAGCGTCAAGAACAGTTCGTAAAAATCGGGGCGGTCTGAGAAAGAAGTGAAGAGTCAGACGAGCGTGCTGTGCGTGTTTGCATGCGCTGGTGCGTCTGTAGAGCGCACCTTCTGGGTTTGTTTCCCAGCATTTCCCCATCAGCAGACGAAACATGTCGGGGCAGTGATCGGGGATCTTGAGCCGCAGTCCCTCGATCGTGACCCCAAAGGCCACCTCCAGCAGCGGTTTCCCCACATACGGCTTCTGCCTGCACCACACGCGCCCAGCAAGAAAGGTCGGTGGTTTGAAATAAATTTTGAGACACACCTGGTCAGCTGACCCACGCGTTGTTGCTGCTGCTGCTGTTGTGCGGTCTCGTACCTGGTGACAATCTCCCACAGGAAGACCCCAAAGGAGAAGCTGTCGGACTTGATCGAGTACTCTTGCTTCCTGATGGACTCGGGGGCCATGTAGGCCACGGGGAGGAGGGTCGATGTGTTTTCCTGCGCCTGGGCCGTCATCCGTCGCGCCAGCCCGAAATCTGAGGTATCGATAAACAGAGAACAAATAATTGGCAGAGGTCATTGGGGGACTAGTGGTTTGAGTGAGCATACCGCACACCCTGACGTTCAGATTGTCGTCCACTAGCGCGTTGCGGGCAGCCAGGTCTCTGGATTGCGTGGGCGTGGGCGTGGGCGTGGGCGTGGGCGTGGGCGTGGGCGTGGGCGTGGGCGTGGGCGTGGGCGTGGGCGTGGGCGTGGGCGTGTGTCGAGGGTGAGAGAATGGGACTAGGGTGCGGATTCACCGGTGGGGCACAGTACCTGTGCACAACGTGTTCGCAGTGGAGATGGAGCACGCCCGCGGCGGCGTCTCGCGCAAACCGCACGATCGTGATCCAAGGGACATCTAGTAGGTGCAACCCAGAGAAGGGGGGGATATGAGTGATGGTGTGGTGGACAGTTACTGGAGGTGCCAAGCGACCACCTTTATGCCTGTCGAGGTAGTCCTTCACGCTTCCGTTGGCGTAGTACTTGGAGACCAGACAGAAATGCGGTGGAGTCGTGCACGCCCCTGATGTGAAGAAAGAAACAAGAAAAGCCAATGGTCAGCGAGAGCGAATCATTCCATGTGGATGACGCGCGAGCGGCGTACCAATAAAATCGACGATGTTGGGATGATGGCACAGGGACCTGCCGACGATGAGGAGGAAGATGGCCAAAGAGTGAGGATTTCATTTGTGGCAATGGGTGAGCGGTGATGGTGGAAGTGGGCGAGGAGGGAGCCGTACTTCATGAGTGTGACCTCATGTCGGAACTCGTAGAGCTCCTTTTCAGTCATGGATAGAACATTGAGCTTTTTGATGGCCACCTGCACAGAACACACGCGTGAGCGCCCCACCTGCTGGAAGGCGATGAAGAAAATGGATCACGGAGGAACGCACCTTGGCTCCTCTCCAGGATCCCTTGTAGATGGTACCAAACGCGCCCCTGTGAAGACACACAACACACGCGCGTGCGCGTAAGCAATCTGTGGTGGCGAGCATAGCCAGCGGTTGATAACGGCGAGCGTACTTGCCGACGGGCTTTTCTTCAAGGTCAAGCTCGTTGACGTTGATTTCGCGGTAGTCGAGGTCCAGTTCGTCGGTCTTCTCCTTCAGTAGGTTGGGCAGCGAATTGATGGACAATCGACTGCGCGTGGCGCGCAGGCCGTGCTGGGCCTTCGCCACCGCCTGCGCCGCCCGCTGGGGAGGCACCGACAACGACGACGATGACGATGACGGCGACGACGGCGGGACCACGGGTTGGGCGCGTCGGGCCTGCGGGCGCTGCATCTCGCCCGGCGCGTCGGTGGTGTCCCACTGGCTGTTGAGGTAAGTGTGTTCTTCTGTGCCGGCGCCACCTTTGTAGGTCATGTAGCCATCGTCACCATCATCGCCATCATCGTCGCTGTTGTCCGAGGACGAGGAGGAGGAGCAGGCCGCCGACGTCGTGTCGGTACAGTCGGACGAGTTGCTCGTCACGCGCGAGGCCGAGAGGAGGTAGGCCCCGCTGCCCCCGCTGTCGGCCTCCATTTCCTCTTCGGTGTCGCGATGCGCGCTGTGCAGTAATCCAGCGCCATCGCCACCGCCGGGTCCCTTGTGGGCGGCACCGGGCGGCACACCGGGCAGTTTGTCAGTGCCCGCGCTCTCGGCTCCGGAGAGCCAGTCATTGCCAAGGCAACGGTATGAGTCGAGCAGGCCTTCACCTTCGTGCTCGCTCATCATGAAAGGAGTCTTGAGGTTGGGGGGGGGGATGAGAAGATGTATAAAATCGAAAGCCGATCAACACGATTGATGAGAGATATGTACCGAGGCCAGGAGGAGGGGCTCGGCGAGGTTTGATCTGTTCTATTGAACAGATCTGGGTGCGATGATGAGAAACGAAGAACGGCCGCCAAACTTTCTTGCGGGCTGCAGAATTGTCCGTTGCTCTCGCGTGCGACGGAGCAGAACTCGCCAGCGAGGTCCGCTACCCGCCGACAAACCTGTGTGAAGTCCGCGAAATTGCAGTTGTGCATCGAGACCAGGCTTGCTGTAGAGTAGTGCTCAACCCTACTGTAGAGTGACCGAGCTTTGGGTGCATAAACGAGCACCCTGATGGCCAGTTACACTGGTGTCTGTTCGGCGTGTCTGGCATAGTGATCCTGGTGCCAGACACTCAGTCTAACGCACCACATGTTCTCTGGGCCTTGAAGCAATGACAACGAGCAGCAAGGGTGCACACGATGTATTGATACACGGCCTTCACACAGGTCCGCAAGTGCGCAAAGCCGCCAGAGAGGAACAGGTAGAATTGCTGTCGACCAACTTTTGGGTTGTCTACAAAAATGAAAACCGAGCTTTTCTCCTTTTGCTTGGCTTGCATCGTCCTTCCCTTCTTTTCCTTCTCTCCTTTGCTGATCCGTCATGGCGACCCCCTTGAAGAAGCCCGTCGAGCAGTATGACGAGTCGCACTACCACCGCATCCGCATCACCCTGACCAGCCGCAACGTCAAGAACCTCGAGAAGGGTGCGTCCCCCCTTTAATTTGGTCCAAATTTATGTCTAATGCCCATCTTGAATCTTTGCACGTCCATCCAACTCACTCTTTCTCCTATGCAGTCTGCGCTGATCTCATCAGGGGTGCCAAGAACCAGGACCTCAAGGTCAAGGGTCCCGTCCGTCTCCCCACCAAGCACCTCCGCATCACCACCAGGAAGACCCCCTGCGGTGAGGGTACGTCATCGTTCCAATTCACCCATCTCGCCATCCATTCCATCCATTTTGTGTGATTTGCCGCTCATCGCTTTCGATGCAGGTACCAAGACTTGGGATCGCTTCGAGATGAAGATTCACAAGAGGCTCATCGATCTGCACTCGCCCTCTGAGGTCGTGAAGCAGATCACCTCCATCAGCATTGAGCCCGACGTGCAGATTGAGGTGACCATGGCCCACACTGCCTAAATCATCTTCGTTCGTCTCTACTTCTTCAACGGAACAGGGGTGTGCGTGTTGGTCGGCGGAAAAGTAAAAATAAATCCCAAAAACACACTACCCTTCCTCCTGCCCATCTTCTCTTCGCTTCGAAGCCTGTGGTCGTGCTCTCGCCGAAGCACACGCGCTATCATCCTTCCTCGCTGCAAGGAGGCAGTGCTCCTTGTCGCTCCTCGCACGAGCCGCGGCACACCCTCTTACGCACAACCTCGTCTCCACGAGCCATGGCGGCTTATGTCCGATGGCCTGCCAGACGTGGAGACGAAGGTGTGCCTGCAGTGGCCACCAGGTCTATGGCAGGAGTTGACTATCAAGCCGGCGATGATGGCATTGCCATTCTCGCCGTGAAGCCGGTGGTGGCGGAGGGACTGGGGCGGCTGGTGTGTCTGTCGTGGTCGCCACCGCGATGGTCGCGAGCTGCACGCCTTGACCAGAGCTGGAGTTTGCAACAGGCTACGGCACCGTCCAACCGAACCTGGCGGCGAGAGTGGCCAGGCAGAGCAAACGGTCACACTGGCACACATGTGGCACCAGCTGGCTGAGATCAATGTGGTGGCGCCTGAGGTGGAAGTGACGACGTGCAAACCGAGCAGCTGCACCAAGGTTCGATGGCCGCCCTGGCGAAATGCACCCCGCACGTGTGTTTTGCTGCTGGTTCGGCTGCGGGATGGGAATGCTTGTTGCGTGTCTCCTGCTGACATTGGGGCGCCCTTGCCCAGTGCAGAGCAGGGGGACCCAATAGTCCTCCACGCCTCCTTCATCGCCTTCTTCCACCATCAGCAAGAGTGCAATAGCTCTCGCACCAAAGAGACGCGCCGGTGCCAGAAAGGTAAAGGGCAAGAGTTGGGGATTGATGTAAAGAGAGCTTTGTATTTGAAGCGTAGCAGAACAATGTACCAGATGTGCAATTTACCTGTTCTCCCTCTTCTTGGACACACCCATGGTGCGGCCCTTGCGGCCGGTGGTCTTGGTGTGCTGACCGCGCACACGGAGACCCCAGAAGTGACGCAGACCACGGTGGCACCTCATCCTCTTGAGACGCTCGAAGTCCTCACGGAGCTTCTGGTCGAGAATGTTGGAGTAGGCCTGAGTGTACTTGCCGTCCTTGATGTCCTTCTTCCTGTTAAGGAACCAATCGGGGATCTTGAACTGACGGGGGTGCTGGATGATGTTGACGATCTTGTCGACCTCATCGTTGGACAGCTCGCCGGCCCTGTGATTATCGCAAATGGTGAGAAGCAGCTCGAATGGAATTGAAAAACGAAGGAGTGGAATGCAAACCTCTTGTTCAGGTCAACGTCGGCCTTCTTGCACACAACGTTGGCGAAACGGCGACCAACACCCTTGATGGCGGTCAGGGCGAAGACGATCTTCTGCTTACCGTCGATGTTCGTGTTGAGCACACGGAGAATGTGCTGGAAATCATCCTGCTGCACCAAAGCCTGCAATCGTTCGATAAATGAAGATGGATTCAGATTAGGATACCGTCCTTTTGTTCGCAAGGGTCTCTAGCTACCAGCACACGACGCACAACCAACAGAATCAGACATTCGGGAAGGGATCTAGCGAACCATCTTTGTTGGGGGGCTGCTGCGATGCGGACGCGAGAGAGAGAAAGAAAGGAAGAAAAATAGAGACCCGGAAAAATCCTTTGGTGACCTATCGATCACGCCGGGATAATTCCCGGCAAAGAAAAATTCGTGCCCCTGCCTGTGCAGAACACTGGCGCACGGGATGTGCACCATCCTGCCTACAATCGTGCAAGACTTTCGACTTCAGTAGCATTGACCACCCTTCAAGAAGCCAAGGCACAGTTCTACTAACTTAGCAGTAACCTCCGCTCTTCACCCACAGCTGCACACTCCCGCTTCCTGTTGGTGAGGCGAAACAGGGTTTCAGTTGCTGAAGCCTTTGAGAGGAAGCTTATCTCTGATGTGACGATATCCGCCAGAGACACGGCGCAAGAGGGCTGTGATTGTAATGTGACTACCCTGGAAGCACATCGCGCGTGCCATCCTCGGCCGAGCCTTCCAATGAGTCCATCGAGTCCATCGACAGCGCTGACACCCTCAGTGGGCGTAGGAAACTCAGAGGACCAAAACGTGTAAATAGGACGCGAAGAAGACAACATGCGAAGGGAAGCGGTAATGACGTTCAGTCGTGTTTACTGGCGGCAGACGTGGTTGTCCGGTTTGCGGTCGATTGCTTAGGGCCGGTCCGACCACCACCACCAACGGGCGGCTGCGTGAGGCTGAAAAGTCGGTCGAAGGGCGCGAAGAGGTTGGGCCGCTTGCCGCGGTAGTAGCCCACCAGCGTGAACACCACCAAAAATAGCCCTGTCGTGCGACCGAACAGTCAGGGTACTGCTGTCGACAGGCCAGGTGCCAAGCGCTGGTGGACGGGCGTACCGAGAGACAGCTCAGAGGTCCAACGAGGGAGTAGGAGCGAGGAGCCCAGGGTGATGGTGGGGCGCTGCGTGAGCCACACCGCACAACCGCCGAGGAACGACAGCTTCACCGCCCTGTGCGGTGCGGAGAGCGGGTGCGCGGCGTGAGTACAAAACCAGTCCTCACGCAGCACACATGCAAGGCTGGGTGCGTGGCGTACAGGCGACAATCAAACGAATCGGGCCGATTCCCAAACCACACCTGCTCAGCCTGTGCGCGAGTTAATGATTACAACGAAGTCAACGGCACAAGAAGAGGCGAGAAGGTACGTAGTCGAGAATGGGAAAGGCGCAAGTGGAAATGGTGGCGGCAAAGACGGGCGCGGTGAAGGAGTCGGGGAAGCGTCGAGCGGCCAAGTCGAAGCCCCACCATATCGAGCGAGCCCACACCACTCCGCTCGCCACCTGCAGCACAAACTGGTGACCGCCTCACACGACACAGGAGCGCACTCAGTCAAATGAGAACGATCATGCTTCACGCGTGTGCGCAGGTAGCGGCGTACGGCAACTGGAGGCAGGTCCATGAAGGACGAGAGCAAAGGGAAGTGAAAGATGAGGAACCTGCACGACGGCGATGAAGTGAGCCTCATGGAACGAAATGGAAGGAAGGAAGGACAAAGAGAATGGAGGTGAAGGTGCACCAACCAGGCGATGAGGGCAATGGGAAAGTCGTGACTGGAGGAGACCCATGCCGGCGGCTCGGCCAGGAAGAGGAGGCACACGAGGGTGTAGCCGCTGTAGGCCAGCATGAAAGTGGAGAGCGCACTGTAGAGGGAGGACTGCGACCGCAGATACCGCAACGACTTGCGACTATTGCATACTGCACTCAGACCCACGCATGCATTGTGATTAACGATTAGCGTTGCGGTAGGTGCCGGTCAAGTGCGTGCCTTCAATTAGCCAGAATATATCGAAGATGAAGTCAGGAGCACCAGCAATGACCCAGTGCAAAGCATTGCTCACCACCTCCATGTGCCTCCAACCAAAAGTGGTGCCTGCGAGTGTTGGCCTTCTGTTGACGTTCGTCTTCTGCTTGGCTTCGGGGGCCTGCGCAAAAAGGCTAGGGCGCTGCCCGGAATCGAACCGGGGCCTCCTGCACCCGAAGCAGGAATTTTACCACTTAACTACAGCGCCTAGCTCTATCATTTGTGCCCTCCGAATGAGTTGTGCACAGACGTCATCAACCCCTCTCAGTTTGTTGGGCGAGGTGAGGCGAACAGAAGCGAGAATCGTGATAATCGGTTTATGGATACAAAGCGTGCGGCTGCTAAGGTGTTGCCTACATGATGCTGTCCTCTGCAGACTCTGCAGACTTGCGTGAAGTGGATTGAGCTGTGCTGTTCGTCTGTGTTCGTGAAACGCTACCGTCCAACACCTGCGCAGCACGGTCAAAAGGTGATGGGTGAGTGTTGAACGGCTACAAGAGAATAGGGCGATCGTAATAAAACGAACCAGCATAGGAGTTCGCCAGTTCTGTATCAAGTCGACCCAGAACCAGAATGTTTCCTGGAGAACGAATCCATCACGTATGAGACGATTTGGGATTTTTTTTTGATCGAGGCCAGAGCTCATCACTACCAAGTGCCGTGGGGGGAGCGAACCTTGGTGAATGCAAGGACCATGAAGATGATGATGCCGTGGCTGCCCACGGCCATGGCTTGGATGAGCCACATCCCGCGGTTCATTCCACCTGAAAACGGACACTCTTCACCTGTGTATCGCCAGGCAAATCAGCAATCACCACGTCAGTCCACTGGCCTCGTTCATCGGCAAAAGGCGCCTGCAATGATGGAAGCACCTGAGAGTGCGCTGCACTGAATCTGGCTGGCGAAGGCTTCTTTGTAGTCGTCCTGTCTCGTTTCGTTGACCAGCCTGGTGGAACCGTCGCATGCGTTACATGTCTAGACAATCGAAACCTGCGGTTGAGTGGGAGACGCTTGGGTACCTATAGATGCAGAAGTAGAGATAGACGGCCCAGTAGAGCACCACCAGGAAGCCCAATCGGATAATCTGCTCCGTCTTGATCGATGATTGCTTGAACTTGGCCTTCACCTGGAATAGACGCGCGCAGGTGCATCAGCGCTGCTTGAAACACACCGCACAATTCATTGTAAGACTCAATGTACCCTGATGATCTTGACCAAACTGATGCCGACCAAGATCGTTCCGATCAACAGGTTGAGCAGAACTGGCCATTAAAAAGGGTGTGAGAGTCGAGGTCGTGAGGTGCTGGAAGAGCACCATCATGCGTGCATAGGAGAGAGAGAGAGAGAGAGAGTACCCCCAGCTATAGAAGGCGGCCCAGTCGTAGGGAGACGCCATCCAGCAGTTGTGATTGGCCGTCACTCCGCCAAATGCCCGACCCGCCAGGCCTGACCCACAGGTCCGCACTCCCAAGCATCAGCAGCGGAGCTTGAAAGAGGCTACTGGGGGGGGGGGCGAAAGAGGGCGCACCGATGATGACGCACACGGTGGGAACGCCCCAGTTGAGGATGTGTTGGAAGTAGTAGATCTTTTTCACCAGCTCCCTCTTCATGCCGAGCACGAGCAGCTCGAAGATGTTGAAGGTGAGCGTGAGCCACCAGAAGCTCCCCGCCACTGCGAAGAACACCAGAATCATCGCTGCAGCGTCGACCATCAAAAACAAACCAATTGGTCATTGTGAGTTCAACTCCAGCAAAACCAATTCACCAAGCACCATAAACCACAAAGGCGCACCTTGGAGGATGCAGACAACGCCCTGTCCGTCGTTGTCGCCGGCGTTGTCCCACGTCATCATCACGGAAGGGTCGTCCCACGTACACGTCAACTTCCTCGGCCCTGTTGCGCGCGTGCGGGTGTGCACCGGGGTGAGGACGGGTCGGTCCATCAGGGAAAGGCGGAGGTGAATGGGGTCGTACCGCCAATCAGGATGGAGAGGAGAATGGAGCCGGCGTTCATGAACGAGCACAGGGCAAGCCAGAAGGGCACGAAGGCCGGGAACTTGCGCTTGCGCGGGTTGAGCACCCACGTGATGCACATGAACAGCGCCAGGATGAACGACAGTGCTGCACGATGGGACGCCCACACAGTGATCAGTTCAGCACTTGATGCCGGCCGGCCGAAAGGGGGCGGTCGCAAGTGGGACGATATAATGGGGGAGAAGAGAGAGAAAGAGGGGAGCCGAACCGGAGAAGGTGATCATGAGACCGTTGGCCGTGTCCCAGTCCTCCGACGTGAACATGGTCGACGGACACGTCAGCACGCACAGCGTCGACGGGTCGTTGGGGTCGGCCCCGTCGGTCGTGAACTCTGTCGGATACGGACAGTCCGCCTGCGAGTACGCCACCGCTGTGTGCGTCCGCCCGCCCCACCAGCCATCAGCCGCCAGCAGCCGCCGCCAGCCACCAGCCACCACGCCATTCACAGCGTCAGAGATCGTCGATACGGTCGGTTCGTGGGCGGTTCGGTGCCGAGCGTACAGACGTCGGCGGAGGCGTTGTTGCAGTTGGTGGCGGGGTAGAGAGGGCCGCCGGTGAGCGGGTTGGTGGCGTTGCAGTCGGGCGCCTTGGACTCGAGGCCTGCGGCGGCCAGGAACGCGCCGCACTCGGCCACAGTCTCCTCGCACACGCTCCTGCACGGCGCTTGGTCTGGTGGACCAGGCCCACCACCGTCGCCAAGCACACAAAAAGGTGGTCAACACATCTTCCGGGGAGAAACCGGAAAAAATGATGAGGCGCCGATGCGACGAACAGGTGAGGCCGGTGGTGGTGTCGAAGTGGCACGAGACGAAGTTGCCCATGCACACCAGGCGCAGGGCGGCATTGCGGCACGCCGGCGGCACGTAGACGCCGAACAGCTTGGTCAGCTCGCTCGCCGCCCTGTCGGCCTGTGGTGCCCCACAGTAACATTCCGCCAATCGCATTCACCAAGCGCAGGTGTGAGTGCCGGTCATCTAATACGCCGGAGACAACGGCACCAGGCAGGGAACATGGGACGGGGGTGGTGAAGAGGGATTGGGGGGGGGGGGCAAAAGGCCAACATAACGTACGTCGTCATAGGACTGGCCGGGGAGGAGGAGCACGTTGGGCCAGGTCACCACGGCGTCGCACTTGTGTTGCGTGAGTGGCGCGCCGTCGAATGGGACGCACGACTGGCCGTGCGCCGCCACCAGCACCGCCCACACCACCAAGGCCACACCCCACCCCGTCATGGTCGTAAAGCGTCCTGGCGGAAAAGAACGAAAGACCGTGCGGGTGGGCAAGGAGAAGGCCAGAAGCGCAAAGAAAGGGGGCAAAGAAAGACCAGAAGGAGCGAAGGATGACATCCGGTGGGTGTGGTACCTCTTGTGTGCATTGGAGGAGTGGCCGCGCTGTAGTGAGATGGTCGTTGTCGTTTTCCACACGAGGAGGAGGCAATTAATGATGTTCCGACCTCGACTATTCGAAGAAGGCAAGGCCGAACTACCCGCGTTGTCGCAAAAGGGAAGGACAGCAAGCAAACTTTCTTGTTCTTGCCCGACGGCACGAAGACAACGGAGAAGAGGAAGATGGAGGCTACGGAATGTATTGCGAGAAGTAATAAAACATTTTCATGTACAGAGGAGGGCTCCGAGTGCGGGATAGAAGAACACGCAAACGGCCAATGCAGAAGCACACAACGCCGAATGAACCGAATCCATCACGAACCTCTCGAAGGCGCAGGCGATTCGTGGAGATGCGTGAACGTGGCGGTGTTGCATCGAATTCCATTTTCCTCTTCTTCGGTCTTCCTTTTTGCTCGGGCTCGGCTCGTTCGTGGGTGATGATGGTGCTTGATTTAAAGAGGGGGGATGAGAGTTGAGGATGGTGAGGTTGGGAGGGAGTGTGTTTGACGTCGTTGATCGGATGGCTCCATCGTAGGGTTCATTCGAGAAGAGTCGCAGTAGTATTTAGAACAGAGAGCAGCCACCCTTAGCCTTCTTCCTCTTGGAGAAGAGGACGGACTTGACGGCATCGTCGAAGACCGTCTTGAGGTTCTCACCTGGAATTGAAACGGTTAGAATGGGCCTTTGGGGGGGGGAGATGATCTGATGTTTCACGTACCGGTGAAGGCAGAGCACTCGATGAACTTGACGGCCTTGAGCTTCCTGGCGAGCTCCTCGCCCTCCTCGTGCGTGACGGGGCGCTGGCCCTGACCCTTGAGCTTCTCGAGGGTGGAGTTGTCGTTCCTGAGATCGAGCTTGGTGCCAACGACGATGAGGGGCACGTTGGGGCAGAAGTGGTTGACCTCGGGGAACCACTTGGAGGTGACGTTCTCGAACGATACGGGGTTCACCACCGAGAAGCAGACCAAGAACACGTTGGCATTGGCATAGCTGCGATGATGGGAAGGATTACTTGGGGATGCCAAAATGAAGAGCTACTCAAAGAAGGGTGATGGGACATACCTGAGGGGGCGCAGACGATCGTACTCCTCCTGACCGGCAGTATCCCAAAGACCAAGCTCGATGGTCTCCTCACCAGCAGTCAAATTCACAACATAATTGTCGAACACGGTGGGCACATACTCTGTAGAGAAGTAAAAGGGGGCGCATTAGCATCGTGCTCTTACGTTGTAACGATAAATTAACATCAAAATTAGGGGGTACCTTCGGGGAAGCGGTTGTTGGCATACGAGATGAGAAGGCACGTCTTACCGACCGCACCGTCGCCAACGACGACCAGCTTGATGGACTTGGTGGCCATTATTATTATGATTCCTTTCTTACGGGGCTTCTTCTACAAGTGACTTCCTCCTGATCCGATCTGGGCTTGGCTCTCCGCTTGCAGCCCGGCTCCTCTTTGGTGTCCGTCGGTGGTCGCGAGAAATCGAATGTGTCGACCGACGCCAAGCCGCGAAATTTAATTCTTGCCGTTGCTGTGCGTCGGCTATGCCCTGATTTTTCCCGGTTTGGGGCTAATACCCCCTTTTTCGGCCAACGCTGAACGGACACGCACCTTGTGCGGCGAAAGTGTGGTCTGTTCGCCTAAAGCGACCGCACCTGTCGTTTCCTTGTGGCTGTTTCGCTCGCTCGAACTTAGCTCCACACCCTTCACGGGAGCATCTTTCGTTGGCGATTCGTTCGGGTCTTCTCCAGCAGGTGCCCGTCTTCTTGACCCTTTGCAGCTTTCGCAGATCATTTATTCGCAGTTTTTTTATTTTTTTGTATTTTTGTATTTTGTATTTTTATATTTTGAAGATGGAAAAGAAGAGAAAAAGAGATGAGGCTGCTGCAGCTTGTACACAGGCACATGCAAGCGTCCGCGCAGAGGTGGGTCAGCATGCCTTATCCCATTTCTCGCTTAGGGCGCTCCTCGATTGCGAGGATCTGCGCAAATCGTTCTGCATGCGATTACGCCAACACGGCTGGACCATAATTGAGCTTGATGACGGTGCCAGTAGAGGTGCAGAGGTAGTGCGGCAGGCCAGTGAAGCGGCCGAACGGTTCTTCCTGCAAGCCACCCAAGAGCAGAAGGAGGCAGCCCGCCTGCTCTTCAGCGAGGGACCATGCAGCACCGGCAAAGGGCTCGTGGGCTACAACAACCCCACCCCTGCCAAGGAGGTCTATCGCCTTCGTCGCGGGTCCGCCCAGCCATGGCCCGCCTTCGGTACACGTCGTGTGTTCATGTGTGGTGTGTGCGGTGGAGGCAGTGGTAGAGTGAGGCTTGGCTCATGGTGTTGTAGAGGACGACACCTTCAGGGTACTGGTGGAGGAGTCGTTCACGCTATTGGAGAGCTTGGTCTACAGCGCGATGCGTTGGGTTGGCGAAGACCTGGCCTCGTCGGCCGATGAATCACCCGACCATCTTCTCGAACGCTACTGTCACCGCCCCTCCCATGATCGAAGTGACCAACCACCAGAGAGCAGCACTACTGATGGTGACGGCACTACAACTGGGGCGGATCGAGGCCACAGTGCCCCACTGCGATTCGACACCTCACCGTTCGACCTCTTCTACTACAAGAATACAGAAGCGTCGCGCCACGTAGTGAATTGCCATCGGCATGTTGGTACAGCCGCCATCCACTTCCCTGAGACGCTTGCCCTCCTGCACAGCACACAACTGAAGCTCAGCTCTTGGCAGACCCAGGGTTCATGACGGTGGTCCCCTGTGCAGCCACGCCAGGCCTCGAACTTCTGGACGCGGCAACGATGGAGTGGATCAGCGTACGTAGAGCGCTCGCCCTCATCGGCAACAGACCCATCTCACTTCACTTCACCTCATCACGCCCGCGCCCCCAACCATGCAGGTCGAACGTACGGGGCGTCCGCACAAGGACGTGGCCCTGTTCTGCGGCCAGAGCCTGCAGACAGTCTCTGAAGGGGTCTACCCTGGTACAGCGTGCGCCCACCTCGTGGCTCTCGCACGCAGCCCTCTCATATCTCCATGTGCGTCGGTGGTGCATCATCCAGGAATTGTGCATTGCGTGGGTAGGAGCAGGCGACCGCGGCTGTCACTCGTCTACGAACTTCGCCCAGCCGTACACGATTGAGCAGCTGCGCACGGGTGTGTGGGATGGGGTCGCCAAGCCCCCCCCCCCGCTTGCCACGTCATCTTTTGTTACATAGGCATCGACGACAACGCGGGGCATTTCCCTTTTTCTTTTGTGGTTGTGTGGAGGAGTTGTACAACGTACCACGACACCATGAGCGAGTTTGAACTGCTCATCGTGCCAACAGAAGAAGAAGGGGCGGAGGAGCAGGGGCACTCCCGGGAAGATGCCTCGCTACGAGGGGCGGAGGTAGTGCGCGTCAAGTTGAAGAAATGGAGTTGGTTGCGCCCCGGCTTCCCCAAGACCGTGCCGCCCCTCCTGCGCGACCGCGTCCCGGCTGCCCAGTTCGCCATCACCGTGAAGTGCCTCAACCTCATCCTCCGCGCGCTGTTCACGCTTCGCGTTGCCGGGTGGCTTGCCCTGCTCGGGGCGCTGGGCTCCGTGCTGACCACGGCCCTCGCCGTGTGGAAGATCAAAGGCGGGTGGGGCTTCTTGAACCTCGGCCTCATCTTCTTCTTCATCACCCTCGCCACCATCTGCTTCCTCGCCCGGAGACTGCACGTACGTTGCGTTGTCTGCATGGCGACAACGACAACGGTTGCAACTTTCATCTTCTTATGCTGCTACGATGGGCAAAACAGGTGAAGCGAATGGTGAAGGAGTACCTGGAGCGGGTCAACCCGCGCTACAGCCCGCTCGGGCTGCACTTGCGTTTGGAGAAGCGATTCCTGCGACGATGGGTGCTCGTCATCACCGTCCAAACTCACGACCGTACGCTGCCAGACCTCATCATTCACCCTTGTTGTACGTGTACGCCCACAACGCGAGCTCTCACTCTCTTTGTATGTGATGCACACGATCAGCCCACCAACAACTGGCGGCGCCGCTGCCAGGCCTGTTCTTGCCGCACTTCGATGGCTCAAGCCTAGCAAGCGCACCGCAGCACCTGCAGCCGCAGCGCGTGGGCTTCAATCCGGAGTCCATCCACACCGACCAAGCGCTGCCGGCGGCCGATTCGAGCAACCACGGAGCTGTAGCCCTTGATTACCTGTAGATACTATCACCCCACCAAGCACATTCACCACCATCACACCGCGTTCGCGCACACAGCTTCTCAGAACAACACACAAAGCGGCGATGAATGGATGGATGATGAAGCTGATGTGTTGTAATCACATAAAAAGGATACGGCACGGTGGATTCCCGGGTGGTCGCCCACCCCAGTACTAACACCGCCTGGCGCAGCTTAACTTCGCTGTTCGGATGGGAAGCGGTGCTTTCTGCGCAGTATGGCCGTATCCGTCCGTCAATAGTGCTACGTGCGACGGACGTTCGTGCGTTTTGGTTCTTATGTGTCATCGTTGACCGAGGAGTATGGTGAAGGGAGCAGACACATCTATATTCTCTTGGCAAATCGGGCAGGAATGGCATGATCAAGCTCAACAACACTGTCATGGCCTGGATGGTGGGCGGGGGGATACGAGTTGATGGATGGTGGCGGAGAGGGCGGCGAACTGGACGGGCTTGGTGAGGTGGATGTCGTCACCGCCTCCCGGCTCCGCTCCACGTCCTCCTCCGACCCGTATCCCGACAGCGCGATCCCCTGCTCGACAAATATGTGCCTTGTCATCAACACCAGCAGTGTGTCGTGTGTGTCGTGTGTCGTGTGTCGTGTGTGTCGTGTGTCGTACCGGGAGGTGGTAAGTGGCCTTGAGGGCGGCCATGAGCTCGAGGCCCGACCCGTCGGGCAGCCCGATGTCGCTCACCACGACGTCCACCTGGCCCTCGTCGCTGGCCTTCTCCTCGGCCGCCACGCGCAGCGCGTCGGCCACCGACGAGGCCACGACGACTGCGAAGCCCAGCTTCTGGCGCAGGAGACGCGACATGATCATGAGCGTGCTCTTGTTGTCCTCCACCAGCAACACCTGGCGCGCCGCGCCACCGATTCGGTCAGCTCCAAAGAACAAAGATCGGACCGTACGGTGCTACGTAGGGAACCCTAAGTACCTTGAGTGGCCCGGTTCGTGGTGGTGGCGGCAGCGCTTGAGAGGCCGTCGCCACAGTCAAGGCCGGCGTGTGAGGGCCGGGCATGGCCGGGGCCGGGGCGGGTGGGTGTTGGTGCGGCGGCTGCATGTCGAGGGCGGCGATGGCCGTGGCCGGCGCGTCGGTTGGCAGGTGCACCGCAAACGTGGCGCCCTTGTTCTTGCCCTCGCTCGACGCCGTCAACTCTCCCCGATGCATCTCCACGAACGATCTGTCGCACCACGACACGCTCTCAGTTTAGCAGGGGACGCACTATTATGGGACGAAGGAAGGCGTGGTATACCGGGAGATGGCGAGGCCGAGGCCGAGGCCGCCGAAGCGCACGGTGATGGAGGCGTCGCCCTGCTCGAAGGCCCGGAACAGGTGCGGGATGACGTGGCTCTCGATGCCGATGCCCGTATCGATGATCTCCACCCGCAGCATCTCCACCCGCTCCATCGCCTGCGGAGGCGGCTGTAGCGATGACGGGCTCTCGCCGGGCGGCGGTGACTGGTCCTCCGCCGGGTCCTCGCGGTCGGCAGCCTGCCCTGACTGCTCGAGGTCTGGTGCCGCGACTGGACGGTCGAGGACGTAGTTGGAGGTGCGGATGGTGATGGCGCCGCCCTCGGGCGTGAACTTGATCGCGTTCTTAACTAAGTTCCACGCCACCTGCTGCAGCCTGTCCCCCCACGCGTGGCACGACACACACCACACACACCACACCACACCACACACCACACAACACACACACGCCATACAAGAGTCAGTTTGCCGTCAATCGGGTTGGGGGGCGAGAGAGCGGCGCACCGAGCGGGGTCGCCGACGAGGCGGTCGTTGGTGGCCTGGAAATCGCGCGTAACGACGAGCTTCTTGGCGCTGATGTCGTGCGCCACGATCTGCACCGTGCGGCTCAAGATCTCGTGCAGCGTTATCGGCCGCAGGTTGAGCTTGAGCTTGTTCCTGCGCCGCCCAGCACCCCAGCCAGTAGTGAGTAGAGGGCTGAAAGAGTCGCCGGATCGAAGGCGGGCGCGCTGCAGGGCTGTGGCGGCGGCGGGGGCGTGGTGTACCGCGAGATCTTGGTGAGATCGAGCAGATCGTCGATGAGCTGCACCTCGAGCATCACCGACTCGTGGATGAGCCGCACGTTGTCCTCCACATCCTGGGGCAGCATCTCGCCTGCCAAGTCCACGTGCGAGACGCTGACGTCAGCAAAAGAAAAAGAAAAAAGGAGACGGCGGCTGCGCGGCTCCGTACCAAGGAGGGCCTCGGAGAGGAGCAATGCGGGAGTGAGCGGCGTGCGCAGCTCGTGCGAGAGGGCGGCGAGGAAGTGGTCCTTGGCCTGGTTGGCGCTGTCGGCCTCGCGATAGAGCCGCGCGTTGTCGATGGCCATCCCCGCGCGTTGCGCTATCTCCGCGCAGACCGCTTTGTCCTTGTCCTGCGTTCGAACGCCCCGTTAGAGAAGCAAACCGTTTTAGCTCCGAATAGAGACCAATTCGAGCGAGGTGGTGAGGGCGGTCGGTCAATACCAGATCGTCGCTGTGAGCGAACGACTCGCGCGCAAACACCCACAAGCCGTAGATGCGGCCGTGGCCCTGCAGCAGGTGCATCACGAAATTCTCCCCTCGGGCCGGCGAAGTCGCGAGGCCGCACTCGATGCCCACCCGCTCGCCGTTGCTCAGCCGCACCACTCGATAGTACCGATCGGCCTCTTCGTCGTCTGTGCGGTGGGTCGGCCGACCGCACAAAACAGAGTTAGAATTGATGGCAAAAACACACACGCACACATACACATACACACACACACACAACACACACAACACGTGTGGGCAAGAAGGTACCACCTAGCGGGTCGTTGCCGAGCTTGTGGAGCTGCCAGAGGTGGGTGGGTGAGTGCGGGGTGGCAATGCGCTCGAGCTGGCCGTTCTCGGCCACCACGTCCACAATACTCCAGTCGGCCACCACCGACCCTGCGCCCGCGCCGGGTCAGTCGCTTAGAAACAACCCAAGAGTGTGCGAACGACGAGACGCGTAGCAGAGCGAGAGGAGGGAAGAAGATGTATATACCCTCCACGATCTTGACCGCCGCTTCCAGCAGCGACGACAGATGAGTCTCCACGCTGGCCGCCAGCAGCTGTCCCACCTGGGACAGGAGCGCCAGGCGGTGCTCGGCCTTCTTTCGAGCGGTGACGTCGATCGTGAAGATGGATACCCCGCCGCCGGCCCCCGGAAACATTCGGCTCTCATACCTGTCGGCATATGCGCGCGCGGGTGGTAGGGTAAGACCACCACCCGTCGCACTGTAGCGCGGCCTTGGCGGCCAAGGTGGAGGCCGGCAAGCGACTGGAGGGGGGCGTACCAGCGGTCGTGGACAGAGTAGTAGAAGTCGAACACGACGTCGACCTTGTCGTTCATGGCCCGTTCCAGGTTGCGGGCCACGACCCCATCTTCAGTATCGACCATGAAGCGCCACACGTTGTGTCCGATCATGTCTGTTGGTGTGGTGAGTGTAGGAACGAAGAAATAAATAAACATTTAGTGACAATTGGTTGCGTCAATTGACGCAACCAACATATGCGTATGTAGAAACTACGTTTTGGTGGCAAGGTGGTTGGGTTGGTTACCTTCTTTCTTGGCGCCGAGCAGGTTAGCGGCGTTGGTGTTTACGAACGAGTATCGCTGTCGCGCATCGAGCGACATGAAGGCGTCCTGAATGGCCGCCAGAATACGCTCCAGCCTCTCCTTGCCTTCATCTACCTGTGTGACAGATGCATGAGCCAACCGCCCCATTGACGTGGTTGCCACTGCAGCAAATAAAATGAATTAACGTGTCCGCGTACCTTAACGCGCAGGGCCAGTTCGGTGCGCGCGGCGTCGTTGCGCATGCGCGACATGTTGAGGTGTGAGGCCACGCGCGACAGCAGCTCGCGCGCTGTGAAGGGCTTGGTCAGGTAGTCGTCGGCGCCCTCGGCCAGACCCTCGGCGCTGGCCTCCTCGCCGGCCCGCGCCGACAGCATGATCACCGGCAGCGTCTGGGTCGCGTCGCGCGACCGAATCTCCTTGAGGAGGCCGAACCCGTCGAGGAAGGGCATCATCACGTCCGTCAGCACCAGGTCCACCCCCTGCGGATTCGACCGCAGCACGCTCGCCGCTTCCAGTCCTGCTCCAGAAGAAATGTATGGACGAGTTCAAGTTAATCATGAATAATGAATTGAATAATAAACGCAAGCGCGGAACAGCGAACCGTTGGAGACGCTGATGACTTCGTATTTGGCGCTGAGCAGGCGCGCGACGTACTCGCGCATGTCGAAGTTGTCGTCGGCCAGCAGAATCCTGGCCTTGGTGCTCTCTCCGCTCGCTCTCCTCTGTTGGTGTTGTTTGATTGATCGTCGCTCATCATCAATCGGCAAGCCAGCTGAGCTGATTGCCGCACATCGGCATGCAGCAGATGGAGGAGGCACCTTTTTCCTTCGGCGCGGCTTCTTCTCGTCTGACGACGGCGCCGATGGCAACGATGACGGTGGTGAGGAGGAGGCCGACAGCACACTGAACGAGGCCGCGGTGCGCTGACGCGGCGACGAGGGCATGTCCGGCGAGCTGCTCGATGTGGGAGACAACGAGCCGGACGAAGTGCCCTTCGCCAGCCCCGAAGCCGATGGCGAAGTGACGACGGCGATCGAGGGCAGCCACCACGACGCGGTCTTCGAGTAGTTGCGCGCGTCGGCCAGCGTGCTCGCATATGCCTCATGGTCGGCGGCGGCGGCCGCTTCAGCGGGCTCGGCGGCGCAGTCCAGGGACTGGACGCCCCGTACGCCCGCGGGAGCCGAAGAAGAGGAGCCGGCCAGCGACAGAGGCCGTGCGAGGTGCACCACCTCCTGGCTGGGCAGGTGATCCGTCCCGAACGGTATGCGCACACGGAATGCGGACCCTGCATGTGCGACGCTCATGTGAGCATGCACCGAACACTCACAGGGGTGGAGGAGAGCAATAGCAATAGCAGTAGTAGTAATAAAGACGCCGTACCGAAGCCGAGCTGGCTGGTGACTTCGACCGTACCGCCGTGCAACCGGACCAGCTCGTACACCAACGCCAGCCCTGCGGACACACAACCATCATTACCACCATGGCGCGGATAAAGCTCGTGACGTAATAAATAAATAAATAAATAATAAAATGGTGATAAGGGAGGGCACGTACCGATGCCGGTGCCCTCGTGCGACCGGCCGCCGGGCGTTTGCACGCGGTGGAAGCGCTTGCCCAGCAGGAGCAGCTCCTCAGCTGGGATGCCGATGCCCGTATCGGCCACCATCAGCTCGGCCTCGTCCTCCCCTGTCGTCGCACCTGGAGACCAAGGGTTTCAGCACCGACACAGCCCTATGAAAAGGAAGGTTAACAGGCAGGCAGTCAGGCAGTCAAGCGTACTTGTCACGGTCTTTACGCTGACCCGGATCTGGCCGTGCATGGTGAACTTGAGCGCGTTGGAGAGCAGGTTGAGCACAATCTTTTCCCACATGTCCTTGTCCACGTACACCGGCTGCTCCAGCTCCTCCTCGCACTCCACCACCAGATCCACATTCGCTCTGCGCTCCCGATCGCATCGCTTAGTGCTTCGCGCCACGGCCAAGGAAAGATTGGTGGTTGGGGGAGGGGAGAGTACCGTTCGGTGGCCGAACGGAAGATGGAGGCGAGGTCCTGCGTCAACCGCCCCAACGACACCGCCTCGAAGTTGGCCCGCGCTCGGCCGTCCTCGAGGCGTGAGAAGTCGAGCAGCGAGTTGACCAGCTTGTAGAGCCGTAGTGCGTTGCGATGGATGAGCGTGAGCTGCTCCTTCTCGACCTGCAGCTCGGCCTGGTCGAGGAGGTCCTCGAGCGGGCCGAGCATGAGGGTGAGCGGTGTGCGGAACTCGTGTGAGATGTTGGAGAAGAACGTCGTCTTGACCCGATCCAACTCCGCGAGCGCCTGCGAAAAAGGAATACGGAACGATCAGGAAGCGGATAATTGTAAGATGCTCCTCGCACGGCGCAGTGTGTGTGTGTGTGTGTGTGTACCTCGGCGCGTTGGCGTTCCTCCTCGCGTGCGGTGGCGTTCATGATGATTGACGACACGTTGTTGGCAAAGAGATTAAAGAATATGCTGTGTTGTTGTGATAGCGCATTGCATGTGAGCAGCTCGGAAGCGTAAAGATATGCCGTCGCAAACATGAAGAAAGAAGGTGAGAGACATACCGATAGTTGTCGTCGAGCTCATGGCGCGGATTGACGCCGGCCACCAGCACGCCCACTACCTTGTCGGAACCCGTGTGCGAGGTCATGGGCAAGACCAAGCACGACCTGGTGCGATCATCGTCGGTGTGCCCCCATGCGCTGCAGGGCGGCACGGCGCTTCCGAACGGGGCGAGGCTCACCAGCTGCGGCTCCTTGCTCTCAATGACATCGTTGAAGATGGGACACCAGACACCGCCCTGCTCTTCCGTGTCGTCGTCGCTCTTGCTGTCCTCACTGTCCTGTCTGTTGTTGACAGTGCGTCAGTGAACGCACAACACAACACAACACAACACAACACAACACAACACAACACAACACAACACAACACAACACAACACAACACAACACAACACAACACAACAACCCACGCTTACACTCAGCCACATGGAGGCGCGCGAGAGGGCAGCCAGTGCTTACGATGATAAGTCGCGGGAGAGCGTGACGAGTTCGGGGCACAGCAGGGAGCCTTTTGTCAAGTCACCGGCAGTCTCGGCCAGCACTGCTCGTCTCCCCTTCGCGTCAAGCGTGTAGATGTTGCTGAATGCAATGTCATACCTGCATTCGCAAAACACAGCACGGTCGGCTTCACAACAACAACAACGCAATAAAATGTAGTCTCATAAAGAAGGAAAATAAGAAAGCTGAACCGTGAGCGTACTTGCCGGTAGTCGTCACGATTTCACCCACGATGCGCACCGCATCCCTCACGCTCCGGGCTTCAGTCCCGCGAGCAGCCAAATCTCGGAGAGTCCTGCACCGAGAGACGGGCACGCGTGTGTTACGTTGATTTCACAACACACAATCACGAGTGCAGTGTGGCGACATACCGGAGCTGCCGCTCGCCGATAACGCGCATGGTGTTCTCAGTGCAGGCGGTGAAGACACCACCGACGGTGTTATCGCTCAAAAACAGCGGAGTGTAGGAGAAGGTGAAGTAGCACTCCTCCAGGTAGCCGTTGCGATCCATCGGGGCGTAGGCGTTCTCTGCCCAGTTGGCCCTCTTTGTTTGCACCACGGCGTCCATCAATTGCATTTGCTCCTCCCAGATGGTAGGCCAGCATTCCTTATATGTGCCGCCTGCAGCCACACAGTGATCAGTCAATAAAACACACAACACACAACTACACCAAAACACAAGAGCAAAAGAGGCTCAAAGACGTGCCCAGGTAGCGTGGGTGCTTGGTGGCACCCATGATGGGTCGGTAGGTGTCGTTGTAGAGCATCCTGTAGTCGCGGCCCCAAAAGATCACCTACGGTGCCAAGGGTGAGCAGCGGGCGCCGTGGAGGAGGGAAGAGTGCAGCAAGGACGTACAAAGGGGAACCGGGAGAAGAGGCAGACCGTGAGGGCGATCTTGAGTGTGTGGGGCCACGACGCAATCGGCCCGAATGGCGTGCACGACCAATCCTTCTCCCTGCTCTCATCGCAAGCGTCTCTTGTTAGCCTTCGTCGTCGCCTCTCTCCCAACAACGCCTGTCGGCGTTTATTACGGTCCATCCCCCATTTTGGCGCACCTGATCAGCGCGCACAGCTCTCCGCCGGCCGTGAGCCATTTCGTGGGCAGATTACTTTGTTCGGCCGTATGGCGTGCGGCCTCGACTTCGCTCAAGGCACCACGGTGCACTGTGGGGGATCCCGCCACCAGGCTCTTTCCGGCTTCTTCGGGCTTGTCGTGGGGCTGGTGCGGTGGTGGCGACGAGCTGGGTCGGTGGTCATCGTCATCGTCGAGGCGATGGATGCGGAGGGCCTGCTGGAGGCAGGCCAGCACGAGGCCCTGCAGCCGCTTGGAGGCGTGGTGCAGGAGGCCGGGCTCGACCAGCGCTTCGGTGAGTTGGTCGAGCGCGTCCATCTCATCGTCGTTCGCCAGGTGCACCATCACCCTCTCCAACACCTCCAGCACGCCCTGTGCCCGTCATGCAGATTCAGAACACGGTGCTCCTCATTCTGATTTGTTTTGTTTTGTTTATCTGCCAAAAAAGAAGAGATGAAGTCGAAAACGAAGCGAGTGTGCTACCTTAAGATGGAGGATGAGGCGATGTGTAGTTGGTACATTGCAGAGCGACAACTCAGCGCGCAAATCCTTCCAAATCTTGGAAAGATGTGCCGCGCTCTCCATGTTGCGATTTGAGATTCTATCTTGCACGGGTCCCGCCCGAGCGGCCTTGGCCTTCTTGCTCTGCCGCTCCTTTCGCCTTTGCTCGTAACGCCGGCGTTCGCGCCAGCTCTTCCCCGCGGGTCTGTCACCGTGCCGTTACATCTGTTGAGGCGCAAACCGGTAGAAAATAGGCCGCCAGGTCCCCGTGGTACCGAGGTCCGGGTGACGGTGTCGCTACCAATGATGACGTCAGCAGGGCTTGTCGGAACACTCCCTAGAAGTTGGGCGTGACCACACATGGCTGTGCATGATCAGCTCCAGCATACAATGTTGAGTGCTAGCTTGTTGCTTTTGACCTTGGGGCCAGTGATGTGCTTGGTCAGGAAATTTGCACATACCACTCCATGTATGTCAACAACATGTGGTATGTGTTGTTGTGCACAAGGGCATGATACTCACTCCACATGGCTCAAACCAGCATCTGACACAAGCTGGTTCCTCCCCTTCCTCTTCCCCCAGCTCAATACCACTATCCTCAAGGATACCCTCTCTGCCCTCACCAAGCTCAACAATGCCCAGGCCCTGAAATCCTACCAGGATCTTGTTTCTCTCTTCAATAGGCCACTCCAGATCAGCTCACTGGTGACCTGTTCAGCTGGGTTTATTGGTGCAGACATGCTCAGTCTGACCTTCTCCCAACCTGGAGCCATTGGATTGGCTGGAAAATCTGAACCTACCTTGTTAGTGCTCCTCAGAACAACCTCAAAATGCACCTTGAACTTGTGGTCATTTGATATGAGAGGTCCAGTCATTTTGAAAGGTGATTTTGTTTGTGAGTTTAACCTCATATAACATGGTTTTGACAACACAAAAAATGGTGAAAAGCAAGACAAAATGGAGAGCATCTTGAATGGCAGATATCTTTACCATCATAAGGAGAGATATGATGCTGTAACTGGGCCATCAGTCAAGGTCTGGAATGACCCATTTCTATCATGTACATGTTTTGGTACACTTACTTTATCACATACATGTACACAATGACTACACACGTTTTTTTCGGTGCTTTCCTGAACAGCTGCACACAGAAACCATAAAAGGAAAAAGCATGGCTGCTGGGATTTACTGGACAAAAAGTCAATTTTTATTCTTTACACTTGGGTGGCCTGGAGCTGCTCTTTGTCATTCAGTTGATATCAAATTGTTGCAGCATTCATCTTCCCCTGATCTGTGGGGCAAGGAGGAGATATATTGGCAAACCTTCTATCATGTATGTGTATGTGATAGAATGTCCTGCAGTTTCAAAGCATAATGGGCTTTGAAAATAGCATGTATGCAATGGGGCAGTTACCACCTTCAGGAGCAAAAACAGTTCCTTGTTGTTGGCCATGGCTGATGGCAGGGTGACTTGCACCAATGCAGACACAACAACAAAAACTGTAAAAACCAGACACTTACTTTATCACATACACATTCACAATGACTACATGTTTGACCTACCAATACTTAGTTTATCATGTAAACCTACAAGATATGGAAAATCAGAACTTTTGCTTGTTTTGTGTAAGTGCTCCTCTGAACACCCTCAAACTGCACCTTGCTTTTGCTTTCATACCCTCCATCAATTCGATAATCAGTGGCCAACATGCTGCCCTCACATCCAGTTCATGTTCAACCTCACACCATATTCAGTCAGTTGCACACATGAACTGAACTTCATTCTTCACATTTGTGCTGAATTGGAGCACTATTCCTGAAGTTAATATTCCACTCCATTCCACACTGATAAAATCACGTTTAACTCCACAAATTCCAAGGTTTTATGAAATCATTTTCATCTCAAGTCCCTCAATATCACTTAGAAGCAGCGGTCTAGCATGTCAAAATCACATGCAGATCAAAATCTTCAAAACTGCCCTGTAAATCAAAAATGTCAAATCTCAGTCATTTGTGACCTCTCATTTCAAATGACCACAAGTTCTTGGAAGATTTGGAACTGAATCTGTGATATTGACATGCTAGACCACTGTGATTGATATTTCATTTGTGACCTCTCATTTCAAATCAGCACAAGTCTCATGAGCTCAGCTGTCCTTGAGGTGAGAAGCCATTGCTGCTTGTTGTGCCACAGTGTGTTGCAGTGGATGAGTGTGAGCTGCTCCTTCTTGATCTGCAGCTCAGCTTGGTCAGGGAGGTCCTTGAGTAGGTGGGCATGAGGGTGAGTGGTGTGCAGAACTTATGTGAGATGTTGGAGAAAAATGTCATCCTGATCCAGCTCTGAAATGCCAAAGATGGCAGCATCAGGCTGTAGACCTCCAGGTGGCCATTCTGGTCCATTGGAACATGCTTGTTTTGGCCATGTCAGTGTCCATTAGGATTTGCTCCTCCTCCCATGTTGTGGGCCAGCAGGAACAAATTGGTTAACATAAATTGTGATAGTTCAGTCCATATTGTTCACTCACATAAGTAAGATGCCATGTGGCACTTCACAGCACACAACCCTGCATACCCATGGTGCACAATGGCAGTTGCTGAAGGTGCAATGACAAATGGGCAGCATGGATGCATGGATCTTCTTCATACTCTGGTTTTCTGAGGGTGGGGTGCTGGTGGGGTGGAGTGGGTGCACCATCACCAAGGCAAAGGATGCAAAGAGCCTGCTGGAGGAAGGCCAGCACAAGGCCCTGAAACCACTTGGAGGTGTGAAGAAGGTAGGGATTGACCAGTGCAATGGTGATCTGGTTGAGTGTGTCCACTGGTTGAGTGTGTCCACTACCTGCTTGTCAGCTGGAGGCACTACAATCCCTCTCAACACCTCCAGCAACCTCTGCAGCGCCCACAGCAGATGGAGGGGTTCAAAGTACCAGAAGATGGGGAGCAAGGTGGGCATCATGCTGGTGCGTCTGACCCGCCAGGTGGGTGTACAAATTGTTCTGAATCTTGGAAAGACTAGCTGCTGCCTCATCCATGATCTTGGTTCACTTTATCTCTTTGCCTCTTCTGTTCATGCAAGAGGGATAACAAGACACCTGGTGTTGTCGCATGGGGTGATGGAGGTGTCGCCCTGCTGGAAGGCACAGAAGAGGTGTGGCAAGATGTGGTCCTTGATGCCAATGCCTGTGTCCATGATCTTGATGGTGAGCATGAGCCACTGCTTCCTTAGTCTCCCTGGCCTCCTGCTCTTTACCGCTGCATTTGCTGTGGGGCTGGATTCACTTCTGCATTTCCTGAATCATTCTTCTTCTCCTTCTCCAAGGGCATGGCATTATCGTCCACGGCCTTGTAGTTGCGCATGCGGATCGCGATGGCGCCGCCCTCCAGCGTGAATTTGATTGCGTTCTTCGTGATGTTCCAAAACACCTACTGTAGCCTAGTACCCTTTTATGGTTAATTTCAGAATGCACATGGCAGGAGGTGAACACTATGGACAGTGAGCACCACGTACACATGGCAATTTGAATTGGCCTCACCTGGTGTGAAGGCCTCAAGGCCTCACCCTGTTGTGCCCACGCATTTTTCCAATTCCATCGAACACATTTGAAGAATGCGTTACCAGAAGCGCCATTCGACTACGCCGACTCTCGCGCTTCCGGGTCCGTTCCCTGAACCGCCAGTCTTGATAAGGCCTTTGACCAGCGTCAGTGGCACTTCAAGAGAACTAAACAACAGCACCCAACAGAAAATCACACACAAGATGGACTCTACAACACCGCAGCAACCGGCCGTCGAGGTGAAGTCTGAAGTCACAGACGTCAGTGAAGGGGAGGGGGACCTGTCGCGGGAGGAGCTGGCCGAGTGGCTCCTGGCCAACTTCGGCACCGAGCCCGACCAGCCCGAGCTGGCCCCGCAGCCGCTCAACCTCGACCACCTGCTCCGCCCGGAGGACTTTGACCCCTCACGCGTCACCGCGCACAACATCGTCGAAGGCGACGGCGGCCTCGACGGCTTCGGCATCGTGCTCGAGAACGTGTTCACCCGGCGCGAGTGCCAGCGCCTCATCGCCGAGACCGAGCGCGTCGGGTTCGGCCACCTGGGCGAGGGCAAGACGGGCCGCGCCTACCGCGGCAACTGCCGCCTGCAGATCGACGACCTGGGCGGCGCGCTGGGCCGCGAGGTGTGGCGCCGCATCGCGCCCTACGTGCCTGCGGCGGTGGAGCTGCCCGACGGCGAGGGCCGCTTCGAGTACCTCGAGATGAACTCGCGCTATCGGTTCGCCAAGTACTACGCGGGCCAGGGCTTCGCCATACACGTGGATAAGCCGACCATCTACGAGCACGAGCGATGTAGCATCATGACGGTCAACATCTACCTGAACGATCTGGTGCAGCCGGAGCAGGGCGGGCTGACCCGCTTCTTCCGGCGGATGACGGGTGGCGCGCCGGTGGCTGCGGCGGGCGGCAAGGCGGGCAGCATCGCCATCTTCAAGCAGAGCGTGGTGCCCTACAGCCCGGTGCACGACGGCGACAAGCTCCTGAGCGGCCTCAAGTACCTCATGCGCACCGACGTCGTCTACCGCCCGGCCGCGGCCACGGATACGCCCAAGAGCGACGCCTAAAGGAGAACACACGACACACACCACACAGCACACGTGTTTCGCGAAGGCAGGAAATAATGGAAAATAGTTTAGTACCGTACAGACCACAGGGCAACGGTGTTGCGGGGTTCAGGGTTTGGAGGAGAGGGGCCCGAAGGTGCCGCGCTTGGCCATCATGCGCACGTGCTCGTCCTCCGCCTCGGTGCGTTCGGCTTCCTCGACGGCCGACATGGCGCTCTCCAGATCGTGACTGCGGTGCACGCACACAGAAAGGTTACCACATGGCACGACACGACACGACACGACACACGTCGGCAGAGGTTACAGTACTTTTTCATGGCCTTCTTGAACATTTCGGTGGTGAGGTCCGCGGGCCGCTTGGAACCGTGCTGGATGAGGAGGTCGGTGATGTCCCTCCGCTTGAAATCGTGCGCTACCTTGGCCGGCGTGCGCGCCGACTTGTCCTGCGCGTCCACGTCCGCCTTGTTTTCCAGCAAGAACTGCACCATGTCCTTGTACCCCGCCCTGTCGCACGACACGCACGGAACACGGCACACGGCACACGGCACACGGCACACGAGTCAGCTCTGTGGGTCGATGACGGCGAGCGAGCGACGAATTGATGCGCACCCGCTGGCGATGTGGAGGGCGGTGCTGCCGGTGGTGATCTCCTTGGCGTTGATGTCGGCCCGGTACTCGAGAAGCAGCTTCAGCGCGGCGAGGTTGCCTCCCTCAGCCGCGTAGTGGATGGCGGCGCGGCCTTGGGCGTCCTTGGCGTCGACCTCGAGCCCGAGGCTTCCGCCGGGCTCGGCGGAGGCGGGCGAGCCGAGGAGCCACGTCACGATGTCGCGGTGGCCGTGCATGAGGGCCGTCACCAGCGGCGAATAGGACGAGGCTGAGTCGAGCAGGTGGAGCGTCTCTCGGCCCTCCTTGGGTGCCAGCAGCAGCAGCACCGCCTCCTTGCTGCCCACCCGGCAAGCCACATGGAGCGGCGTTTCACCTTCAGCGCAACACAAAGTTAGTCGCATGTGCGGTGGTATGTGCGGTGTGTGCGGTGGTGTGTGTTCGGTTTTACCTTTGATGTTACGCAGAAGGACGTCGCCGCCGTGCTTG